TGAGGGAGATGAGGGAGAGAAAGGGGGGAGGGGAGGGAGGGAGGGAGGGAGGGAGAAGGGGGCCTGGGGGAGGAAGGGAGAGAAGGGGGGTGTTAGTTTGGAGGTGAGTGAGTGTGGGGGGAGAGGGAGAGAAAGGGGGGGAGGGAGAAGGGAGGCCTGGGGGAGGGAGGGGGTGTTAGTTTGGAGGCGAGTGAGTGAGGTGGGAGAGGGAGAGAAAGGGGGGGGGGAGGGAGGGAGGGAGGCCTGGGGGAGGGAGGGGGGAGAGAAGGGGGGTGTTAGTTTGGAGGTGAGTGAGTGAGGGAGATGAGGGAGAGAAAGGGGGGGAGGGAGGGAGGGAGGCCTGGGGGAGGGAGGGGGAGGGAGGGGGTGTTAGTTTGGAGGTGAGTGAGTGACGGGGGAGAGGGAGAGAAAGGGGGGATAGGGGGAGGGAGGGGGTGTTAGTTTGGAGGTGAGTGAGTGAGGGGGGAGTGGGGGAGTGGGAGAGAAAGGGGGGGAGGGAGAGAAAGGGGGAAGGGGAAGGAGAAGGGGGTTTAGATTGGAGGCGAGTGAGTGAGGGGGGAGAGAGAGAAGTGGGGGGAAGAAGGGAGGCCTGAGGGAGGGAGGCGGGAGCGAGGGGGTGTTAGTTTGGAGGTGAGTGAGTGAGGGAGATGAGGGAGAAGTGGGGGGAGAGGAAGAAGGGAGGGTAGTTGGCAGATGGAGTGAGGGGGAAGAGGGAGAAGGGGGGGGGGTAGGGAGGAAGAGAGATGGGGGGAGGGTAAGGGGGGAATAGAATTAGAATGAGGGAGAGTAAGAAGAGAGTGTGAGGTGGGGGGGGGAGGGAAGAATGGAGGAAAGCGGGGGGATGAGGTTAGAGTAGAGAGGAGGAAGGGAGAGAGAATTAGAATAAGGGAGGAGAGGAAGGAGAGATGGAAAGGAACTAAAATAGATATGAGTGAGGAGGATGGAGGAGAATGTAGGAAGAATGATAAGAGAAAGAATGAGAGAGAAAGAGTGGGAGGGAGCTCGCAGAGAAAGTAGAAAGAAAAAAAGTTCAAGACGCAAACGAGAGAGAGTGAGAGAGAGAGAGAGAGAGAGAGAGAAGAGAGAGAGAGAGAAGAGAGAGAGAGAGAGAGAGAGAGAGAGAAGAGAGAGAGAGAGAGAGAGAGAGAGAGAAAGAGAGAGAGAGAGAGAGAGAGAGAGAGAGAGAGAGAGAGACAGACAGACAGACAAACAGACAAGAAAGACAAAACTCAAAACGCAATTTCATAACTATCAGTCCCATCATTAAACCACACGTTTGCAAAAAAACAAAACAAAAAAAAACAAAAAAAAAACTTTAAACCTAAATAATGAACAGACCGACGCCATTCACCCATTCATTCATCAGGATTAATTCATCCTCGGACTCCATCAAAACGCGCTGTTGATTTCAAAATCCCGAAAGGCTTTTCTATATATCTAGCGATTAAATTCCTATAGAATTAATTATTATTGTTGATTATTATCTTTCTTTCTTTATTCTTTTTTTCTTTACTTTAATCTACTAATCCATGAAAGTCAGCATGCAACATGTGGATTAATGGAGCGAGTGTTATCATTGCATTTGCATACAAAGCGGGCGTAGTCTTCTGACTCTCACATATTAAAATGGCATATGACACCGACTTATGGTGCTGGCACTGAAGGCCGACATATGAATGGCATATGCCATTGAAATATGACATTTGACATTGGCATATGATACTGACATATAACACTGACATATGACAGTGAAATATGACATTTGGCATTGGCATATGATACTGGCATATAACACTGACATATGACAGGGAAATATGACTTTGACACTCTGTTATTCACATATTGTACTGAAACATGAATTGACACGAGGCACCGATACTGATATATGACAGTGACACATAGCATGGCGTAGATTCATACTACTGAAATATGGCACTAACACACCTCACTGATATTTGGCTCTGGCAAATGATACTGATACATGATACTGACATATGACAATTCTGTGATTAAAAACTCTCTCTCCCTCTCTCTCTCTCTCTCTCTATCTATCTATCTATCTATCTATCTATCTATCTGCCTATCTATCTATCTCCTTCCCTCCATCCCACCACCCCGCCCTCCTTCTCTCCCTCTCTCTCTTTCTCTCTCTCTCTCTCTCTCTCTCTCTCTCTCTCTCTCTCTCTCTCTCTCTCTCTCTCTCTCACTCTCTCTCCCTTTCTCTCTCTCCCCTTCCCTCCCTCACCTCCTCCCCACCTCAACCCCACCCCCCCAGCCCCTACCCATCTCACCATCTCGTTATTAGCCAAGCCGTAGGTCCTTATCAGCAACTGCTTGAACAGCTCTCCCACGTTGATGTTATACTTGGCTGACGTCTCGAGGTAGGAGGCGTTGCTCATGTCTGTGTCAACCCAGTCCTGTGCCCTCTGGAAGCTCACGACTCGCTCTCTGTCGAGGTCGACCTTGTTCCCCACCACGACCACGGGGGCGCCGTCGCTACCTGGAGGGAGAGAGGGAGAGAGGGAGAGAGAAGGGGTAAGTGGAGAGTGGTTGTGTTATGATTTTTTTGGGGGTTGTTGTCATTGTATATTGTTCCTGTTGTTATTGTTATCATTTGTTTCATCATTATTTTTATGATCATTATTATCACTATCATTATTATTATTAATAATATCATTAACATTATCTTTATTGTTATTACTATCTTTATCATTATCATTATTATTATTAGTAGTAGTATCTTTTTATTATTATTATTATTATTCATTATCATCATAATTATTAATATCATTGCTATTAGTATATAATCATCATTATTATTACAATTGTTATTATTATTGTTATTATTATTACCATTATTACTGTTATTGTGATTTTCCTTATTGTAAGTATAAATAAATAAATAAATAAATAAATAAATAAATAAATAAGTATATATATATATATATACTCACACACACACACACAGACACCCTCCTCTCCCTCTATCTTCTCCCACTCCTTACCTTCTCTCACCTTTCTCCCTCTCTCCCCTCCCTTCACCCTATTCGCTTTCCCTCTCTCTACTTCTCCTTCTCCTCCTAACCCTCTCTCTTCCTCTCTCCCTCCCTCTCTCCCCTCCTTTCACCCCCTCCCCCTCTCCCTTTCACCCCCTCTTTCCCCTCTCCGTTTCACCCCCTTCCCATTCCCACCTCTTCCCCTCTTTCTTTCTCCCCTCCCCCTCCCCCTCCCCCCTCTTTCCCCACGTCACACTTTCCTTTTTACCACTTCCCCTTCCCCCTCCCTCCCTCTTTTTTTCTCTCCCCTTCACATCCTACCCTCCCCCCTTCACCCCCTCCCCCCTCTCTCCCTCCCTCCCTCTCCCCTTCCCACCCTACCCTCCCCCCTCCCTCCCTCTTCTCCCTCTCCCTTTCACCCCCTCCCCCCTCCCTCCCTCTCCCTTTCACCCCCTCCCCCCTCCTCCTCCCCCACGACACCCTATCAGCCCCGCCATAGCGCAGTGTTTTGATGAATCGTAACTCGCGGTTTTATGAATGCGTAAAAAAAAGGCGATTCCTCGACTTTTACTGAAACTCTGAGTCGACCACAAACCTTCGTTGTTTTGTGGATCCATTTTAGCCCATGCATTTTGTTTTCCCAGATTCTTTACCGCTTTATTTATATATATAAATATATATATATATATATATATATATATATATATATATATATATATATATATATATATATATATATATATATACATATATATATATATATATATATATATATATATATATATATATATATATATATATATATATATGTATATATATATATATATATATATATATATATATATATATATATATATATATATATATATATATATGTGTATATATATATATATATATATATTTTTTTTCATTTTAGCCCATGCAAGTTTTTTTCCAGATTCTTTACCGTTTTATATATATATATATATATATATATATATATATATATATATATATATATATATATATATATATACTTTTTTTTTATTTTTTATTTTAGCCCATGCAAGTTTTTTTTCCAGATTCTTTACCGTTTTATTTATATATATAAATATATATATATATATATATATATATATATATATATATATATATATATATATATATATATGTGTGTGTATATATATATATATATATATATATATATATATATATATATATATATATATATATATATATATATATATATATATACATTTTTTTTTTTTTTTTATTTTAGACCATGCAAGTTTTTTTTCCAGATTCTTTACCGTTTTATTTATTTATTATTATTTTTTTATTATTATTATTTTTGTTTTATTTTATGATTATTCTATTTCGTTTTATTTTATTTTTCTATTCATTCTTCTCCTTTTTATTATTATTTTCTTTCTCTTTCTTCTTCCATTTTTCCCTTTTTCCTTTTTTCTACTTCTTTTTGTTTTTATCTTTTCTCATGCAAGTTATCCAGATTTTTTACCGTTTTATTTATTATCGTCATTTTTTTTTCATTTCATTTTATAATTATTTTATTTCGTTTTATTTTATTCTTTTCTGTTCCTTTTTCTCCTTTTTATTATTATTTTCTTTCTTTTTATTCTTTTGTGTTTTTCTTTTTCTCCTTTTCCTTTTTTCTACTTCTTTTCGTTTTTATTTTTTCTCACCCTTTTACGCCTGGAAAGTGTCTTCCGATGTTCTTTGTTATTGCTTCTCCTATATTTCGCAATTTTATTTCGCTTCTTTCATTTTTTTCCATCTCTCTCTTTCGTTTCCTCCCCTGCCTTTGCTTTACTTTCTTTTTTTTTGTCCTTTTTGTATTTTTCTTTCTCTTTCTTTACTCTCATCTCCTCCTCTACTACTTTTCTTCTTTTCCTTCTTTTTGTCTCCCCCTTTTATTCTTTGATTTCCTCTTCCTACCTTACTCTTTCTTCTTTTCTTCCTTCTTTCTTGTCTCTCCTTCTCTTCCTTTTCCTTGTCTTCTCTTCCTCTTTCTAATCCTCTGCCTCTTTCTCCTCCTCTTCCTCTTTTCACCCTATTCCTCTTTCTCGTTCTCTTCTTCTTCTTCTCCTTTTTCCTCTTTCTCCTTCTCCTCTTTCATTTTCTCCTGCTTCCATCTTTCTCCCCGCCATCCTCTTTCCCTCCCTTTTCTTTCTCTTCCTCTTTCCTTTCCCCTCTTCCTCTATTCCTCTTTCTCTTTTTGCCTCTCTTCCTCCTCTTTCCCCTCGTCCTCTCTTAATCTTCCTCTTTCTCCCTCTCTTCCCCTTTCCCCCTCTTCCTCTCTTTCTCTTTCTCCCTCTCTTCCCCTTTTCCCTCTTCCTCTCTTCTTCTTTCCCCTCTCTTCCTCTTTCCTCTCTTCCTCTCTTTCTCTTTCTCCCTCTCTTCTTCTTCCTCTTTCTCCCTCTCTTTCCCTTTCCCCTCTTCCTCTTTCTCCCTCTCATCCCCTTTCCCCTCTTCCCTTCTTTCTCTTTCTCCCTCTCTTCCCCTTTCCCCTCTTCCCTTCTTTCTCTCTCTCCCTCTCTTCCCCTCTTCCCTTCTTTCTCTTTCTCCCTCTCTTCCCCTTTCCCCTCTTCCTCTTTCTCCCTCTCTTCCCCTTTCCCCACTTTCCTTCTTTCTCTTTCTCCCTCTCTTCCCCTTTCCCCTCTTCCCTTCTTTCTCTTCCTCCCTCTCTTCCCTTTTCCCTTCACCTTTCCCTCTTCCCTTCTTTCTCTTCCTCCCTCTCTTCCCTTTTCCCTTCACCTTTCCCCTCTTCCCTTCTCTCTCTTTCTCCCTCTCTTCTCCTCTTCCCCTCTTCCTCATTCCCCTCTTCCCTTCTTTCTCTTTCTCCCTCTCTTTCCCCTTTCCCTTCCCCTTTCCCCTCGTCCCTTCTTTCTCTTCCTCCCTCTCTTCCCCTTTCCCCTCTTCCCCTCTTCCTCTTTCTCCCTCTCTTCCCCTTTCCCTTCCCCTTTCCCCTCTTCCCTTTCCCCCTCTTTCTCCCTCTCTTCCCCTTTCCCCTCTTCCCTTCTTTCTCTTTCTCCCTCTCTTCTCCTCTTCCCCTCTTCCTCTTTCTCCCTCTCTTCTCCTCTTCCCCTCTTCCTCTTTCTCCCTCTCTTCCCCTTTTCCCTCTTCCTCATTCCCCTCTTCCCTTCTTTCTCTTTCTCCCTCTCTTCCCCTTTCCCTTCCCCTTTCCCCTCTTCCCTTCTTTCTCTTCCTCCCTCTCTTCCCCTTTCCCCTCTTCCCTTCTTCTCTTCCCCCCTCTCTTCCCCTTTCCCTTCCCCTTTCCCCTCTTCCCTTCTTTCTCTTTCTCCCTCTCTTCCCCTTTCCCCTCTTCCCTCCTTTCTCTTCCGCCTTCTCTTCTCCTCTCCCCTCTTCCTCTTTCTCCCTCTCATCTCCTCTCCCCTCTTCCTCTTTCCTCTCTTCCCTTTTCCCTTTCGTTCTATTTCTCCCTCTCTTCCCCTCTCCCCTCTTCCCTTCTTTCTCTTCCTCTTCTCTTCTCCTATTCCCCTCCTTCCTCTTCTCTTCCTCCCGCTCTTCCCCTTTCCCCTCTCCTCTTTTCTCTTTCTTTCTTCCCTCTCTTCCCCTCTCCCCTCTTCCCTTCTTTCTCTTCCTCCTTCTCTACTACTTTCCCCTCTTCCTCTTTTCCTCCTCCTCCCTCTCTTCACTTTCCCTCTTCCTTCTTTCTCTTCCCCCCTTCTCTTCTCTCTTCCTCTTTCTCTTCCTCCCTCTCTTCCCCTTTCCCTTCCCCTTTCCCCTCTTCCCTGTTTCTCTTCCTCCCTCTCTTCCCCTTTCCCCTCTTCCCTTCTTCTCTACTCCCTTCTTCATTTTATCCCCTTTCCCTTCCCCTTTCCCCTCTTCCCTTTTTTCTCTTTCTCCCTCTCTTCCCCTTTCCCCTCTTCCTTCTTTCTCTTTCTCCCTCTCTTCTCCTCTTCCCCTCTTCCTCTTTCTCCCTCTCTTCTCCTCTTCCCCTCTTCACTCTTTCTCCCTCTCTTCCCCTTTTCCCTCTTCCTCATTCCCCTCTTCCCTTCTTCTCTTTCTCCCTCTCTTCCCCTTTCCCTTCCCCTTTCCCCTCTTCCCTTCTTTCTCTTCCTCCCTCTCTTCCCCTTTCCCCTCTTCCCTTCTTTCTCTTCCCCCCTCTCTTCCCCTTTCCCTTCCCCTTTCCCCTCTTCCTTCTTTCTCTTTCTCCCTCTCTTCCCCTTTCCCCTCTTCCCTTCTTTCTCTTCCTCCTTCTCTTCTCCTCTTCCCCTCTTCCTCTTTCTCCCTCTCATCTCCTCTCCCCTCTTCCTCTTTCTCCCTCTCTTCCCCTTTCCCTTCTTTCTCTTTCTCCCTCTCTTCCCCTCTCCCCTCTTCCCTTCTTTCTCTTCCTCCTTCTCTTCTCCTCTCCCCCTCTTCCTCTTTCTCTTCCTCCCTCTCTTCCCCTTTCCCCTCTTCCCTTCTTTCTCTTTCTCCCTCTCTTCCCCTCTCCCCTCTTCCCTTCTTTCTCTTTCCTCCTTCTCTTCTCCTCTTCCCCTCT